ATCAAATCTTTATCTCTCAAAACTTACTCTCTACCCCCATTTTTCTTTTCATCTTTACACTTAACGTTCTTATCTTTAAAGTGAAAAGAATTTTTACAATTACTTTTGAAAAACGGTTCTGTGTTCTAATCGATCTTCTAATCTGATAAACTATTTTTCCTTTGCTTATATGTGCGTTTCTCTCTGTTTTTTTAGATTCTGTAATCTATAGTAGACAGACTTTTTATTTGTTAAACTTTTGTGTGTAATAGCTTAGATTAGAAGCTATTGTGATAGAGGTTATCAAGCGACCTTCTCCATGTGTGGGATTTTAATGTCTTGAATTGAGTTTCTGTACTCTGTCAAAAACATGGGATTTTCAATGTCTTGAATTCAGTTTCTGTACTCTTGGGCCAAAATAACAGAAAGGGTTGAGTGTTAACTAGAACCTTTTGCGAAAATTCTAGTGGGAAACAAAAGGGTAGATTAGTGTTGATCTTATTGGCCTTGTACTTGTTGGTTTGTTTCTTCTTAACCGCTTTAAAAAGAGATAAACATAGTAGAGATCGCAAGATGCGTCTTGGGGAGTTGGACGTAGGCGAGTTAGTGCCGAACCAACTATAAATCTCTGTGTTGATCTTTTTATTTCTGAAGTTTGCTTGATACTATCTTGTATAAGCCCTCGGTTTTAATTTTTAGAAATGCTAAACTGTTAATGATTCAAGATGTTCTATAAACGGTAATATGGTCTTATCTTTTCTGAAGCATTAGAAACTTCTGGTAATTCTACATAAAGTTGAATATACCATGTTCTAAACTGTTTGTTCTAATTCACAGTATATTTCACTGCCTTGGGTTTGCTATTATATTTTCTAAAACTTATGAGGAAGTTCTAATCACAATACGCTTTCCATCATAATAAGTTGTTGCTGATACTTGATTAAGGCTCTGTGAAGAAGTTTTGAAATTCAATAACTGTCTTTCCAAACATAGGCTTTATATGATTTTCTAAAGGCTTTAAATGAGAAGTTCTAATTTCAATAGGCTTTGCCTTCATAAAGAAGTTCTGATATTGAATAAGTCAGTGTGAAGCTGTTTTATTATCAATAGGCTGCACTTTGCACAGTACTTTCTTATCTTTTATAAATAGAAATTATGAGGTGATTCTAATGACCAATAATTGCTATTCTCCAAAGTTCTTTGTTTTTCGCGCTGCATGCTTAGAAATTCTATATTTTGTTTTAGATAATTTCTAAAGTTTATTATCTGTTTCTTAGAAAAACGCAATTCACGCCCGCCTCTTGGGTTGTGCCATAGCATTATACGGGACCCACAAATCTGGTATGCAGAGGCCAGCTGGCTCTTGACTTAGCGCCAAAGGCTTAACGGCGCTTAAGAAGGATAAGATCCCATGGGCACCGCCACTTCCCTCTTTCTTCTTTAGAAGGGAGCAATCTGTTTCTAAGACCTGGCGCTTTGTTCAATGGGGCTCAAATTTAGCTCTTAGCTGGAAAAACATAGAAATGGAGAATTTCATGAAATGCAGTTGAATATTAAACTGGCTGGGAGGACAATGTTATCAACTCGTCTGTATTCCCATGAAAGTTTGTTAGGCAGATGAGTTATTAGATAAAACAGAAGAAAGAATATACAGATGCTGATTGGAATGGTACATTGCTGGAGAATTGAAAAGGGCGCATTAATATTATTTCCATTTGTGCTTTAGATGGGCACTTGAATATAAAGCAAAAGTGTCTGGATGTAAATCTGCGACAGAAGTTTGGGAAAAACTTTAAAAGTTACCTAATGAAGGGTAGCATGATGAGTAAAGAATCCAGAATAAAACCATCATTTGGAGAGAATAATGAAATTGTTCAGATGAAGGAAGGAAAGAAACTATTGCAGAATTAAATTCTAGATTTACTAAATATAGTTAATCGCTTATGGAAGACTCTTCGGAAAGGAAAATTTCAGAAGATGAGCTTGTTTAAAGAAAATCCTTAAGAATTCTAAACCTAAGAATAAATGGGGATTTCTATAGGAACTGTATGAATTACTGATAGGGTTTTATTATTTGTGGCCGAATAACCTATGAAAATGTATATACTATTTTATGTCATATAATTTGGTAGTTTTTTGATGGGTTTGTTGGTCTATTGTGATTTAAAATAGATGCAGGTATTAGTTGACTCTATTTATTTGCCTTTTTGTGGATAAAATCAGCTAAGTCAGAGGATGAGAGCTGGGATTCTTTTTGG